TAATAGGTCAAGTATTGTAAACATTTTTGAGTTAATAAAATTAACTTTGATAATAAAATGTCCAAAAAGTTTCTATTTAAATTCTTCTATGTTTAAATCTCATTAAACCATGATCGTACGTAAAAAGAACGCCCATTTCCGACTTCGTATATTGAAGTTATGATTTTTCCAAGTTCAGCTTAGCAACAGACAGCTAAAAACTCGAAACGGAGATCGAGCGACATTTGGCCGGAATGACCTAAACGAGAATCGAAGGTCTCGACAATGGTATTTCAACGGTAAAAAGTCTGGCAAAAACCGACGTCAGATAAAGAAGTTATGAATTTTTTAAAGAAATTCCTTAATCACGTCATTTTAATAAATAAATAATAAAAATAATTTCGGAATTTGCCAACGGAATCTAAACGAAAGTTGTAGATCGTAGTCTCACCTTCGCGGGGATATAAATAACGTCGAAAACGGAGTTCGTATGAAGGAGATATGAATTTTTGAAGTTTGATAAATAATTTATATATAATTTTTATTAAAAATTCGAAGAGGAGTCAGCCTAGGGCCGAGGTACGCGCCGCGTACCCTCGTACGCCCCGCGTACTTAGGGCACGGCCTCGGATCGTCCACGTCGCCCTATGCGAAGCTACCCGACCCGCCGTCCCATCCGACCCGCTCCATCCAAAATACGTAAGCGATGACGTACGGGTACGCGCTGCGTACGCCCGTACGCCCCGCGTTCGGAGGCGGTTCAGCACCCCTATAAAAGGGATGCGAGCCTTTCCGAAAAATTTGTTCATTTTCTCTCTTTCAATCACGATCTTGCCTCGATTTCCGTGCCCGTTCAAACCCGAAGCTCTGGTCTTTTTGCTCAAGTCCCGAGAGTCGATTTTACTCCCGAGATTCCCGAGATTCCCGAGAAAAATCCATTTCCCGAGACGAAACTCTGCCCGGTTTTCGATCTCGCTATCTTCAAACTCCAAAGTGAGTTCATACCCCTTTATTCAACCTTTGAAATGCTTTTAAATGTTTTAAATACTTTATGGGGGAGAATACACGTTAAACGCTTATAGTTATTGCTTCGATCACATGTGATTGCATTAATCACATGTGATTAATAACTAGGAAACCAATGATTTTATCACTTTTCAAACTGTTTTACTTCAAAATGTTTTTACAAACTCTTTTACTTATCAAATGCTTTATTGTAAACTTTGTTTTACTACCTATAAATTTGCATGCCCATATATGTATGGCTGTATAAATAATGTTTAAAGGGCTTAGGAAAGCCACCTGTCCTATTTCCTTTTCCTCGATTTGGATGTGGTCTGGTGGAATTTCGGGTGACCATCCGAGGGTCGTTTCAATATTAGTTATATATCATATATACATGTATAGACATAAAAGTACTTCCATATTCATACTTATCAGCACATCATTAGTAAGTTACCATCGGGGTAACACAGGATCATACTACTACAATTTCTAGATCAACGAGTCAGTTCATTCAGGAGTCAATACTTATTACTAAGAGAACATATACAACGATACTAGAACAAGTAACATTATATTGCATATACACGAATACGTTAACAATTGTGATCCACTGTATGGGAGCATGTCTTAATTGTCATGACCCGAGTTGTAGCCAGAGTCTCTTGGAGGGAGAGCGTGAGTTTGCGTATAGATCTATACTGGATTGACTATCCTACACCTCGCTGCTAGCTACAGTGGGACCGACAGGTCTGCGGGTGCCAAACGTCATACCTTATTTTTCGACTATACGTTGTCGATGTTACCAGTCGATAGTATGGTGCAATTTATCACACGATACCTTAATATAAACCCGGTTTAAGGTAGTTAGTACAGCAGTAGTTCCTATAAAACCAAACTACCGTACTACAATAATTTACCCATTACATTTTGGTGATAACCTCACTTAAACTTTAATGTACAAACTATATTTTGTTAAATGATAGTTACACTTGGGAAATTTCACACTTTTACATCAAACGAGCATACAAAACAATTAAGCCTTGGTAGAGGGCTACTTTAACAGAAAATATAGGTTTTTCTGAGAGATTCAAACTTTTACAAACACTTACATACATTTACAACTCATACTTGCGACAGGTTCAAACGTTTTGATAACAAACCTCGACACTAAAATACTTATGAATTCGTCAGCTTAATGCTGATAAACTCTTTCAAAATAACTTGTATTCTCAGGTCATCAGTAGACAGGTACCGATGCTAGCTTTTGAGAAGATGGAGCGCATTCAAGACTCATCATACTATTTTGATTTACATTATATTTTTGGTGTCTAAAACTGTACGGAACACGCTTGTATTAAAATTTTATATTTAATGCAATGGATGATGTTGTTTGCTTATTTACATTTACTGTGTTGTGATACTTTACATGACGTCCTCCGCCCTAGAACGTTTCCGCCATTCTTGGTTTTGGGGTGTGACATAGGAGGACACCATTGTATGATTTAAGATAACATACATTTGAAAATCCATGTTGAAATAGACCTTGAAGATTTAATGCAAATCAAAACAGAATCAAATGGTTATAACATAACAACATGTATTTGTGCCATGATCTTAATTTCTCGAATTCTAAGGCCACTATCTTGTGATTCTTTTAATCAAAACTGAAAACACATCCATGGAAAACACTACAAGACCGAAAATCTTTAGCTTGTGGACCATTAAGGCCAAAAACCTTTCAATATAAGACCGAAAACACTTGGCTGTAGCACTATAGGACCGAAATCATCAATAGGAGTGAGTACCAAGGGACTTCAATCATGCTTAGGCCGGAATCACCTTCTCGGTGGCCGAAAACCCTCCTCCTAGACATAGGATCTCGATTTGGGGTGGAAAGTGGAAACCTAAGGGTTTAACTTTAGGACATGACACACCATCTTTACATCTCTTTACCCTCCAAACATCCATATTATACACGCAAATACGCATCAAACCTCCATGCATGACATCCAAATGACCACCAAATAACAATGAAGCCAACTCTCCTCCCTCCATATATACTCTCGGCCGAGAGTGGGTTTATCCCACTATTTCCATCTTTTCTTTTTCTAATACAACTCCCTCTTCTCTCTAAGAACAAGATCATCTTCTCCAAGAATCATCATCTCAAGGCTGATCCTAGGGAATTTGGTAAGCAATTTCGTGTATCTCTAGTTTTTCTAAGCATTTTTAGTTAATTTCACTATCTTTACACACATTATATTGTGTAAACCCTTAGGATAATCACACTTCCAAGAAGTTTGTCAACTTCCCACAAGAAGCTAGGCTCGAAAATATTCATCTTCTTCCTTCAAATCATCCACAAAATCAACTCAATGTGAGCTTTATACCCTAATTTTTCGAGTTTTTCAGCCTTTTAGGGGGGGGGGGGGGATACAAGTCAAAATATGTTTGTCTTATGGATATTTTGCATGCTTCACTCTTATTATTTGAATATGGTATAATAGTTGTATAAAATGCAGATATCACCACTCCTTTTACAAATTTTATATAATATGAAGTTTGGTATGCAAAGATAACGAAAACATAACTCATTTCGTAATAACAAACATCAACAGGAAAAATATGAGTTGTACAAACTACAAGTTTTTGGTAATTTTTACTAAAAATAGCTTTTCTATTAAAAATTGTTATATTTTAATCATTATTGTTTTGCTGGGTTAAAACCCAATGATATTATGTTTTAACAACATATATTAACCCTAGACAAGAATTCGACTTTATATTTATATAAAAGTTTGTATAAATAGTCCACACAAAAACATACAAGGCAAACTATAATTGGTATAGTTCGGGAGTCACAAAACCACATTTTTATAATTTTTCAATGGTATAATTATTTCATTTAACAAGAGAAATGGAGTCGTAGTTCACGTAAATCTGTTAATGCTCTAGTGAGACATTTTCTTCACCGTACCTATCTAGCATACACTTTAAGTTCTGCATTATAACCAGAGTCTCCTGGAGGGAGAGCGAGATAGTTATGTATCGATCTATACATGATTGACAACCCTAAACCTAATTTGTTCGCTATAGTTAGACTGACACGTTTAGGGTGACAAATATCTACCGATTCCGACGCCTGAAGAACGTCGTTCAGGCATAACATTCACATTAAGCATGGTTATAATAACTCACATAGAGATTAACTATACTATTTGGTTTACGGGAAGCTTACACCTCATCAGTTTTATAAAAGAATAAAACTAAATACTATCTTACAATACAACATTTCTTACATTTATGGTCTTAGGGTTTAAGATTACAGTTCATACATAAGAAAATATTGGATTTTCTGGAAACATACACTATCATTTTAAAAGAAAAATATACAAAAGTCATACATACATTTTTAGTCTTGGATGTAAGACTTACATCCCATTTTTATAGAAAATATTGGATTTTTTGGAAGTATACAAAACCATTTTAAACAAAACAATTACAAACACTTTTCATACAAAAATGCTTATGAACTCACCAACATTATTGTTGACGTTTTTCAAAATCACTTGTATTCTCAGGAACCAGTAAAGTAAATAGGTATTCAAATCATTTTGAGAGTAGGAGTTGTTGCATCATGGATTTCTACTTTTCAGTCATTTAATGTGTAATTTTTGAACAAACACAGTGTGTGAACCATGTAAACTTGTATTCTCAATGTATGATGTTTGGTTTGTTATGTTTCATTCATATTCAACTGTTATGATACTATACAATGACGTGATCCGTCCTCGGACGTTTCCGTCGTCCTGGTTCGGGGGTGTGACAACACACTTAAACATGCATTTAAGCTATTCCAACTAGATTTCAAAATATGTGCCAAAATATTCCAAAGTTAAAAGATGCCAGTCAAAGATGCCAAAACATTAACAACAATCCAAGAAGCCAAAAGCTATTCCAACTCATACTGATTGTCAACACTGCTTCCCAGTTTCCCCTCCCACTTCTTTCTTATCTTAAGTTTTGTAACTTTCTGAAGGTTTCCTTGCCCTCTTCCCTACTACAACTTGAAAAGCTGGTACTTTCTGCACAATCTCTTCCACTTGATCTTCAACTACAATTTGGTTATTATCTTCAACTTCAACTTGCACTTTAGCTTGAACTTTAATAGCATTTTTAGCTTGAGCTTGAGCTTGTTCCTGAATAACATCATTTACTTGATATTCAAATTCAACATCATCTACAGGTTGAGCTTGAGCTTGCTCTTGAATAACATCATCTTCAAATTCAACATCAAAAGACTCCACTTCACTATCAGGTTCCGTTTCAACTTCACTGTCACTTTCTATATCAAGTTCATGTGCAAAGGCAACCTTCACTTTACTAGTTTTGCAATACTTGAAAAGTTAAGTTATGCCAAATATGTTAAATTATCCTATATATATATATATATATATATATATATATATATATATATATATATATATATATATATATATATCAAACATACCGGCATTCTTGGGTTTCTTTTTCTTTGAACTTAGATTTGAATCATTTGATGATTCTTCAATTGGTTTTTGAGGACATGTGGTTCTATTATGCCCACTTTCCCTACATATGCTGCATTTCATCGCAATACCTCTTTTTGTCGATTCTTCTAATACCCTCACACAAGCTTTATTTGCTAATACAGTAGTAGACATTATCACATGCTTATTTGGTTAATTTCGTAAGCCACAAAAGAAACTCTTTATACGTAAATCCCCCCCAAATCCACATCACATACACCATACACTTGTTTTTACAGGGTCTAAGCACACCAACGGGTTAGGCAAAAGCATTCCGTTGTAATGAAAATCTACAGCTACATACATACGTGTAGATGAGGATGCCATGTTAACAGTCGACTTCAACTCGTACCTTCAATTCCAAACCCTAATTGTCTATTTGTTGTATGATTGATTTATCACAAAAGAAGGTAATCGGATTGTGTTTTTGGAGCTTGTCCCAAGTTGACGATGACGAACCCTAATTAAATAAGAAAGAGGTGTAATGGTCACGTAAGATTCCACACAATGTGTTTTAACTGAGCTAAATCAATGCAATCGACAAAAAGAGGTAACAAGAGGTAATGTTGGTTATTTGCGAACGAATGAAAAAATTAGTTGGGTAAATAAGTAAAAAAAATAATATTACCCATATGTAAATATACAAAAATGATCCTATACCTTAATAAGTCAAATTAAAACTTTTACCAAAAACACATTTGAATTCTAAAAGCAAAAGACTTTGTGGTTTCGGGGCTCGAACCCGGATATTAAACGACCTAAAATTGGCCCGACTTCCACAAACTTCCGGAAGGAGGCTCGAGGATTCACTTTCAAGTTTCAGCTACTGCAGCATCCCGTCTGAACATCTTGCAACCTTTCTTCATCGGGTTTTAAATCCCCAAAATCTTGCGTCCTACCTTTTCAAGCATCATCAGGTTAGATTTTTGTCAAATCCACTACTTTTACGTTTCTTTGTCTCTATCAACGTATATCTGTATATTTGCTCCATTCGTGTGTTTTTCTGTGGCTGCTGTATAGTTTATGCTTGCTAAACCTCCAAATTTAGTCATTTTCATGTGAAGATCCTCGCAATTAGTTATACAAACCTAGAAACTCCTTTATTTTAAAGTTTTGGATGTGCGATTAACCCTAACATTTACTCCTTATGCAAAATTACAACGGGTGAGTCGCTGAATTTGAATTTTTCTGTCTGATAATGTTATGGCGAGAAAATGTTGTAGGGTTCTTAATTGGTTAGCTATATTTGATGAACATGCTTATTAATTGGTGTTAGGATATGAATAAACGTTCAAAAATTCAGGGTTTACTTTGCCAAAAACATCACATTTTATCAAAAATTTGGGGCTCTGAACATCAATCTATGGCAATTGCACTGAAAAAGCTATGTAATTGTAAAACACACTGTTTTTTTTTTCTTTTCTTTCAATTTACTTCTCATCTCCAATCCATTCAATCTCATCACAACGATTACTTGAGCAATCAATCAAATCCACCATTGAATCCAAAAATTACCAACAAATTGTTGACCTTCTCAATGATTCAAACAGTTGAGATTGTTAATTTTCTTGAAGAAATGAATCTAGAAATTGGGTTTGAGCGCTATGAGTTGGTTGTTGAGATTGTTTTGAATCAAATTTGTTCATTTTATCATGGAAAGTTGCCATAAGAATGATAAATAAAGGGTTTATAAATTATAAAAGTGAGACAAAAGCTAAGTGGAGCTTGCTTATCTTCTTAAAAAACAGGTTCACAGAACTGAACCTAATTTTCTGATAAAATGTGATGAATTGCTTTTATTTGTACGATTCAATAATGCTAATGTTTACAAAAAAAATTCAAAACTCAATCAAGTTATCTTTTTATTTATTATAATTCTGTTTTACATACATTCATGGTATTTAATGTCAAATTGCAGAGAATATCAATGTAATTTGCTCTCACTACCAATATGGGCAACACACTTTATTTTTTACCTCGATCTTGTCTGTGCAAAAGACGTAAATGCCCTTCTTATCTGATCAAAACTTAGCCTTAGAAAGCTTAGGGACTCCCTCCTCATCTCATCTTTGTACAAAAGACTTAAATGCCCTCCCTATCCTAGTCAAAAAATAGCCTTAGAAAGCTTAGGGACTCACTCCTCATCTCATCTTTGTATAAAAGGTGAAAAGACTTAAACGCCCTCCTCCTCCTCATCATTGAAAACACCTCTAGAAAGGTTACAGACTTGCTCTTGATCTCTCATCTATGAAAAAGACGTAGAAAGCTTAGGGACTCACTCTCGATCTTTTGTCTGTGTAAAAAGACGTAAATGCCCTTTTCAAATTTAACGATTTCAACTTCAACCACACTGTTTATTGCAGGCAGAAGTAGTTGTCATGGCAAAGCATCATCCGGATTTGATCATGTGCAGGAAGCAGCCCGGAATTGCCATCGGGCGGCTTTGTGAAAAATGTGATGGCAAATGTGTAATTTGTGACTCGTATGTGCGTCCATGTACACTTGTACGTGTATGTGATGAATGCAACTATGGATCCTTCCAGGGTAGATGTGTCATTTGTGGAGGTGTTGGTATTTCTGATGCTTATTATTGCAAAGAATGCACGCAACAGGAAAAAGATCGGGATGGCTGCCCGAAGATTGTCAATTTGGGTAGTGCTAAAACTGACCTGTTCTATGAACGTAAAAAATACGGATTTAAAAAACGATGATTGTGATTGAAGAATGAAGAATGAAGAAGATGTTGATGAGTTGTGAAATGTTTTGGTGATTTTTAACTTGGTTAGAATATGTGTATTTTGATGGTGATGTGTTTTCTAATTGATTGCCCGCTATGTTATATTTTTAACTCGTTTGGTTGTACTGTGTTTGATGTGTATTGGATTGACACCGAGACAAGACATTGTCTCAGAGTCTGGTTATCCACAATGCAACAAGTTGGATTGTGTTTGGTGGGTTTTAGATTGATGGATTGATGTTTGTACTGTGTTTGAGATGCATTCTTTAACGTTAGGCCCAATACACATGTGGGGCAGAACATTGGTACTGTATTTTGGCAATGTATTAGGTGGGGTTTACTTTTAGAATGACTTTTGCCTTCTAACTTTTCCAAAAGTTGAAAAAAAAAAAAAAAATACAAAAGGTGTTTGGGTAATAGAAAAGTTCTTTTGAAAATGACTTTTGTATAGAAGAAAATGAGGGGTTTCAAAAAGTCATAAAAACCTGATTTTACATGTAAAAGTTAACACAATGGTCCTTTTGCTAATCCAAACATATTTTAAATAGTTTTTTTTTTTTTGCAAAAAGTTCTCCAAAAAGGATTTTTGATATTTAAAAGTAATCCTAAACATCTTCTAGGTTTAGATCTAGACAAAAAGTGCAATGTTTTATACCACCAAAAAAGATGCTAAATAGTCATAGAACCCACTTTTTGTTTGTGTGTGTGTGTGATTTCAATGATAGGTTGATTTTGTTAACTTTTATTTAAATGGATAAAATAAAAAAGAAATGGATAAAATAAAAAAGCTTAGCTAAAAAAGAAATGGATCAAATGGCTTTGAAGCCAAGTGAATTTATTTTCTTCAACATGTATGCTTTACAAAAGTAAAACCGAAAACACAATTCAGATTTAATTGTACTTTGTCAATAGTGTACTCGTTCATTGTTTGATGACATTTTGGAAAAGGTAAAGAGATAATATTTTGATATTACATGTCCAATTTCATATTATTTTTTGGGTTTGAACATATGAACAATTTATTGCATGGAGATATGGTAATTAGTGATTCGTGAGTATGTTAACTCCTACACTATGGATAATGAATGGATAATGAATACTGATCAAGGGTTTTGTGTATCCTATGTCCATCTTGAGCAATTGGATTATTTTTATCCATTTGAATGTTATTCTTGGTTGTTTGGGCTTGTTAGGCTATCCAATATCATTATCATAGTGGTGAAAAAGTAGTAAAGAACAAGCTACATTATCATCTAACCATTCCACAAGCATTTCCCTAGTGAACATGTTGTGAACAAGAGAGAGAAAGATATGAAAAAAGGGAGATAGAGAGAATGGTCTACGTATGCTTCAGTGAAGCTAGCCACTCCACAACACAATAACTAGACTTAGGGCGGTGTTCATCGGTGAGAATGTATGCCACATAGGTTGTGACGTGTAAAAACTTCCCCATGCCCCTTAGCCTTAGCATGTGGATTGTGCATGTTTCATGTAAATGAGTCAAATTTATACTATACAAAAAGATAGTGTTGTTATTTGAACTTCATCAACTAGCGACATCTTGTATGTAATAATGTAAGAAACTTAGCAGGGGCATAAGAACAAGATTTAGGTGCCTATACTTATATTTTTGGCACATGATTCATATTTTATATGTCAGTGTGTTTTGACGAGCTTCCTTACTCTTTTACCCGTCGTGATGCCTAAACACAAATTCGTCGCAACAATCACAAATGATAAGTTCATAAGTTACATAAATTGATTGACACAATCAATCCATATGAAGAATGGAGGAAAACTAAAGAAATTAGGAGGATCGAAGGGCAGACAAGAAGTATTCAAAAGCTTTTATGTTTTGGTGGTTTATGATTATAGTTGTTTTTTTACGACATTAACTATAAATTTAACGATACACTAACAACAAGTATCACGAATCCTATTAGACAATACAACAACGAAAACAATGGAAATCCTACTAGACAATACAATAACAACAACAAACATCAAGAGTCCTATTAAAGAATTAACCATAAATCTGAAAATACAATAGCAACCGAGAAACCTATTATAATAGGATTTATAATAGGATAAGACTTAGAGGGAGGTAGTGTTGAATGTTACATCTCCATAAATGGTAGAATGAATGTGTCATGTAGAAGACATCCAAGGCCGATTCAAACCGATTTGAAGCCCCGAGCAAAATAAGAAAACGAGGCTCTTAACAATAATTCTTTAAGTAAAAAATGATTAATTGCTTAAATTTCTGAAGAATCGATTGGAAGATTTTCGTATTGTCCACAATTTTGGCTCCAATATTGGTTTTCTTTTTTTGCCGTTGCCTTCGATTACTTAATACCAAACATTTTTTTCTTATAATAATCTAAGTATATACATAAAAAAATAGGCCATAAAAATTTGGAGACTCTAGGCTATCGCCCATGCTGGCCACACGTTGAATTTGTTTATGATAATATTTGTTATATCATTTATTATGCTTTTTATTTATATTAAATTGTAAACTATTATAAATTGTGCTTATAATCTCTATTCTTTATACTAAGTTATTCACACATATTGGACTTATAAATACTGGAGTGAGAGAGATATTTTTTGCTTCCAAGTCGTTTTGCCTGATTTCTAAACAAACATTTCTTTATAAAGGAAACTTAAAAGAAGAATTATAACCGGAACCATTGAAAATAATGCACAAGTGCCGTTGTTATGCATTATGGTGTCTTTGAATGGTTGCTTCATAAAGTTGATAAGTAGGGATTTGTGGTGGTAGAAGTCTTTACTATTAATGCTTGAAGTAACACTCATAATTGAAGTTGTTGTCTATAATTTAAACTAGAATCTTATAATAGCTATCATTCTTATCTTTTGAATGAAATACAACCATGAAAGCATCCCGAATATGTAAAAAAAAGAATGTATAAAAGAGTAAAACAAGATGAGAGTAAGTCAAAATGAGCACCAAACCAAATAAATGGATAAGTTTATACATAGATAAATCATAAACTAGACAAATACATAGATAAATTTGACAATCGCAATAGTAATGCAACATAATAACTCTAACATAAAACAAAATTAAATGAAGTAAAAACTTAAGGTAAAAAAACCAAGAGACGAAATCGACTAAAATCAAGTAAAAATGTAAAATGCAAAAGATAGCGGGTAAGTCCCGAATTTGTGGTTTAAAAGCAACAACCAACGAGAGCAACCACCACCACCGCCGTGGGAATGGCGACGAACCTAAAGCTCTTCTTATCCTCGAAACCACCACCACAGGGCAACCACCACCACTGCGGCAGAACCCCTAGCATCAGCCACCACCACCACCACCACCTTCTATTTCCCGCCTCTAACAGAACATTTTACAGTCTACAGTCTTTTCCCTCTTCCAGAAATAATTTCAACAGTTACAGTAGAAGTCGCCGGAGTAGGTATCGCGTGTGTAGTAAGGCCGCAGACGTCCAATCCAAAGATGCTTCTGCCTCAGAAGCGACATTTGTCGCCGGCCGAGATCGTCTGTTGAAGGTATGGTCAATCATTTCAAAATTATGCACATTCTCACAGGTATTCTTGTTTTGATAAGACATGAGGGGAATTTTAGCACTTCTATTGACCTCTTTGGATAGAAGTATTGAACTGGTTAGCCTGTGGAACATAACCTTCTAACTAGGTGCGATTTTAAACCAGTTATTTTGATTGAATTGCAGGTTCCCACAGAAAACATCAGGAATTTCTCCATCATTGCACATATTGATCATGGAAAATCGACATTAGCTGATAAATTGCTGCAAGTGACGGGTACAGTGCAATCACGTGATATGAAGGAACAGTTTCTGGATAACATGGATCTTGAGAGGGAAAGGGGTATCACCATCAAATTACAGGTGCATTTTTTTTAAAGCCATTATCACATTTTTCAGTGAAAGGAAGAAGAGAAAAGGCATAAGGTTTTATAATGTTCATCTCTTTTTTCTGCTCTAGGACATGCACTTACATGTTGTGTCATTGTGATACAACTGTTTTTAAATTATCAACAAATGGTGTACTTCAAAACCATGTAGACATACAATTGTATCATCATACTCACAAACCAATACAAAATAATAAACAACTTGAGTATGATCTAGGTAAAATTAATAAAATATTAGATAGAAGGGTAACATCTTATAAAGCTTCTATTTGTTTCTAGCTAAGTCTTCATTTTCCCCTTATCACTAAGTCCCACAACTAGAATCCCCAAATTTGTAAACCCTAACAGAAAATCACTAGATGAAAGTATGATTAGGGCTCATACCTTGATTATGTGATGTTAATCTAACCAAAATGTGTTAGATTCCTTCTCAAATTGATCTTGGTATCTTCAAGACTCCAAAATCACATCTTAAAATGATGAACTACCAAAAATTCTGTCTTTTAATACTTTCAGTTAAATCCAATTACCACATAATTAGAATGTTGTAACACTCAAAAATCAAACCTTTATGAGTTTATTAGTTACAAATTCCAATGTTATTGCAAGTTGTTAGACTTTTATATCATTTGGTGTAAAGGCATTAAGAGATATGTTGATTTAATTGAAAGAACCATGTAATAGCTAATAATTAATACAAGTAAAACATGGTAATAAATAATACATGTTTCTCTTCTTTTTCATTTCTGTATTTTCTTTTAAATGAATTTTCCTAAATTACCCTTTCAGGCTGCTAGAATGCGTTTCACACATGAAAGCAAACCTTATTGCCTTAATCTTATTGATACTCCAGGCCATGTTGATTTCTCCTATGAGGTATGACAGATAATTTAATAAACTATAAATTTTATTATTTTTCATATTAAAAAATTTAAGAACAAATACATATTGTTGGTTGACATTCTTTTTCCTGATTTCAGGTTTCTAGATCTCTTGCTGCATGTGAGGGTGCTCTCCTTGTTGTAGATGCATCACAGGTATGTATTTCACATTTTCCACTTTTGGAATTTAAAAAAAAAAAACTGAATTACTTTTGTTTTAATGTAAAGAAATATTTTATTATTATTATATTATGTGCTTAATCTTATATTATAGGGAGTGGAAGCTCAGACATTGGCTAATGTTTATTTGGCTTTGGAAAACAACCTTGAAGTCATTCCTGTAAGTTGATAGTAAATAATAAGAATACAAAATAAAATAAAATGTTATAAAAATAAAAACCACTGTTAAATTATCGAGTAAATTACACGAATGGTCCCTATGGTTTGGGGTAATTTGCACGTTTGGTCCCTAACTTATTTTTTTTTTTAACTTGGAAGGTCCCTACAGTTTGTTTTTGTTGCACGCTTGGCCCCTGTCTCACCTAAAAAGACTAGTTTGCCCTTGATTTTTTAATTTATTTAAATAAACACACCCCCAACCTCACTTCCACCTCACTTTACCTTACCTACCCCAACTTATTTAAATAAATTAAAAAATCAAGGGCGAAATAGTCTTTTTAGGTAAGATAGGGACCAAGCGCGCAACAAAAACAAACTGTAGGGACCTTCCGAGTTAAAAAAATAAGTTAGGGACCAAACATGCAAATTACCCCAAACCATAGGGACCATTCGTGTAATTTACTCTAAATTATTTAGTGCTTCTGATAGTCAACCGTATTATTTGACTTTTTTCTTCAGGTGTTGAATAAAATAGATCTTCCAGGTGCTGAACCAAGTCGTGTTGTTCAGGAGATTGAAGAGGTTAGTTAAGTTGATGTGATTTTGGTCGAGGGTATTTTCGTCATTTTCTATTTTTTATGTTCCAATCAAGCATTTTTATGTGAACTTTATCTATCTTATTAACATGTGTTAAACATGGTTTTTCTAATTCATCTTATTTTTTTAGGTTATTGGTTTGGATTGCAGCAATGCTATATACTGCTCAGCAAAGGTTAATTAGTTTAATTCATAGACCAAATGACCATTTTACCCTTACATTTGAAGATGGTAATAATTAATTAACGTATATTACAGGAGGGAATAGGTATAAATGAAATACTGACTGCAATTGTTCAAAGGATTCCTCCACCACTTGATTCTGCTAAAAAACCTTTGAGAGCTCTTATATTTGATAGGTATTAAATATTAATTAAACCCTTTAATCATTTTGTTTCTCTTCACTTTTTTTTTTTTTGTTAATAATAATACCAAAATCTCACTCTATGAATAACTCTGAGTAAATTTTCATATCCATGAATTATATTTTGCAGTTACTATGATGCGTATAGGGGCGTTATTGTCTATTTCCGTGTTATTGATGGAACTGTAAAGAAAGGTGACAGGATTTATTTTATGGCTAGTGGAAAGGTAAAACTAAAACCACTCTTCTCTTGTTTTTTAAGCTTCTTGTAATAATACTGAGATTAATTAAACTTGTTTATATATATATATATATATATATATATATATATATATATATATATATATATATATATATATATAATATATATATATATAGGTTCAGGTTCATTTGAAACCATTTTAATTTTGTGAGACTGTGAGACCAAATCTAAAAATAATTTTAAAATGCAAAATAAATGGAAAAATCCAAAAATTCTTTTTTTAAATATTATTTTCGGAACTTGAATTAACTAAAAAAAAAAAAAAAAAAAAAAATTCCGGTTTTTTTTTTTTTGAAAAATAATAGAATATTACACTGACATATTCTAAAAAATAATTTTAAAATGCAAAATAAATGGAAAAATCTAAAAATTCTTTTTTTAAATATTATTTTCGGAACATGAATTAACTAAAAAAAAATAAAAAAATGCGTCTCACGGTCTCACAAAATATAGGTGGTCTCAAATGAACCTAACCCTATATATATATATATATATATATATATATATATATATATATATATATATATATATATATATATATATATATATATAAACAAATGACATGATGCAGGATTATTTTGCTGATGAAGTTGGAGTTTTATCCCCTAATCAGTTGCAAGTTGATGAACTATATGCTGGTGAGGTAATAATAGTATAATACCACTCCTATGTTTCTTAAAATTCCAATATCTACATATAGGGGTATTTTGGTCATTTAACAATATATATATATATATATATATATATATATATATATATATATATATATATATATATATATATATTAAAGGTGGGATAGATTTTTACTGCTATTCAATAATAAACAACCCGCTCTCCATGTTTCTTACAATTGAAATATCTACTCTACTCATGGGGGGTATTTTGGTCTTTTTCACATTTGAAGGTGGGATACATATCAGCTTCAATAAGATCAGTAGCAGATGCAAGAGTAGGTGACACCATAACTCACTACACAAGAAAAGCAGATCAATCTTTACCTGGATACAAAGAAGCCACTCCAATGGTGTTTTGTGGCTTGTTTCCTATAGATGCAGATCAGTATATATCTCTTTAAACCACAATGCCATGTCACCTTTTATTTATTTATTTATTTTTTTTTATAAATAGTAATCGATATATTTATTGTTTGTTTCTTTTTAGATTCCCAGATTTACGTGATGCATTGGAGAAACTACAGCTTAATGATGCTGCATTAAAGGTATGTAAAAAAGATTCATCATTTGTGGTATTTGTAAATTGTGTTTTTTTATTTGAGTAAATTACACGAATGGTCCCTATGGTTTTGGGGTGATTTGCACATTTGGTCCCTAACTTATTTTTTTTTTAACTCGGAAGGTCCCTATTTTTTGTTTTTATTGCGCGCTTGGTCCCTGTCTTACCTAAAAAGACTATTTTGCCCTTGATTTTTTAATTTATTTAAATAAACATACCCCCAACTCCACTTCCACCTCACCTTACCTATCCCACATTATTTAAACAAATTAAAAAATCAAGTGCAAAATAGTCTTTTTCGGTAAGACAAGGACCTAGTGCGCAACAAAAACAAATTGTAGGGACCTTCCTAGTTAAAAAAATAAGTTAGGGACCAAACGCACAAATTACCCTAAACTATAGGGACCGTTTGTGTAATTTACTCAAAAAAGACTCATCATTTGTGGTATTTGTAAATTGTCTTTTTTATTTTTATTTTTGTTTTTATGTTTTCAGTTTGAGCCAGAGACATCAAGTGCAATGGGATTTGGATTTAGATGTGGGTTTTTGGGTCTTCTTCATATGGAAATTGTTCAGGTATATTATATATTATATAGCTGATATGTATTTTTATCATTTTACATTGACAAATATTGCAAACTCTGCTCATGGAAGTTTCAATTTTAAACTGACCATGTGAATGAAAAAAAAAATGTACTCAAAAGTCTCAAATGCACTTTTTTGGATACAACAGTGACCAATTTTGCAATTTACTCTATGTTAAATTTTGTCTTGACAAAGTTTCATGATTGGTCCTTGTAGTTTACATAAAGTTGCACGATTAGTCCCTATCTTTTTTTAGTTATGCAGATGGTCCCTGTGGTTTGAGTTTTTGCGTGGTTGGTTCTTGGCACATGTAAATTGACTTTTGTACCCTTTTTTAATTGATTCTAGACTTTATTTTATATTATTCTAACTATTTTTAATTTTAATAAAAAAAAAAGTAAATGGATAGACCCTACCACCTCTCTCCCTCTAAAGCTACAAAAGTCATTTTACAATCAACCACACAAGAAATTGAAACCACAAGGACCATCCACATAACAAAAAAAAATAGGGACTGAATTCGCCACTTTTGTAAACCACAAGGGCAAATTGTGAAATTTTATCCTTTGTCTTTTTTATTGCACAGGAAAGACTTGAACGGGAATACAATTTGTCTCTAATAACTACTGCTCCAAGTGTCGTATACAGAGTCCACTGTTCCAATGATGAAACTGTAAATATAAAATATTTTCTATTTTTCTATTTTTTTTTTTTTTAATTTTGAAATGTTTGATTTCATATTTTCATCTGCTTTTTTTAATTTTTTTAGGTTGAATGTTCAAATCCATCAGCACTTCCTGAACCTGGTAAAAGGAGGTCAATTGAAGAGCCAATTGTAAAGGTTTGTCACTATTTTATTTTATGATATTCTCTACTTTTACATATTTATGTTTTTTCATTTTTATTTTTTTGTAAATATATATATATTTTTTCTGTAGATTGAGATGCTAACACCAAAGGACTATATTGGTGCACTTATGGAACTTTCTCAAGAACGAAGAGGAGATTTTAAAGAAATGAAATTTATTACTGAGACTAGAGCTTCACTCACTTATCAGATGCCACTTGCTGAGGTTTATTTTTTAATATTAAAATATCTTTCTTTATGAGTTTTATATTTATATATCACAAGTGTCTTGTATCCTTTTTTTTTTTTTTTTTTTTTCAGATGGTTGGTGATTTCTTTGATCAGCTAAAATCAAGGAGCAAGGGCTATGCTAGTATGGAGTATTCTTTTATCGGGTAAACATATGTATATATATATATATATATATATATATATATATATATATATATATTTCATTATTTTGATTATTTTAAATTCTAATGGAGTTTTAATTTTTAAATAATATAATTAAAACTATGACTTCAGATACAAGGAAAGCGATTTGATAAAGCTTGATGTGTTGATAAATGGTGAAGGTGTGGAGCCCTTGTCCACAATCGTACACAGAGACAAGGTTATTTTGGTCATTTTTTTTTCTTTTTCAATAGAAAATGAAAGAGATAGCTTGTTTTTTAATTTTACACGTGTGGCTCTTGTCTGTGTAAACGATGTAAACGCCCTCCTTGTACTCATAATCGAAAATAGCCCTAGAAAAACTAAAAGAGCTTATACCTAGACAAGGTTATTTTGGTCATTTTTTTCCTTCTTTAATAGAAAACGAAAGGGATAGCTTGTTTTTTAATTTTACACATGTGGTTCTCGACTTCTCGTTTGTGCAAAAGACGTAAACGCCCTCCTTGTCCTCATAATAAAAAATAGATCTAGAAAAACTAAAAGAGCTTATACCTAGACAAGGTTATTTTGGTCATTTTTCCTTCTTTAATAGAAAATGAAAGGGATAGCTTGTTTTTAATTTTTTCACATGTGGCTCTTGTCTGTGTAAAAGACGTAAACGCCCTCCTCATCCTCATAATCGAAAATACCCCTAGAAAAACTAAAAGAACTTATACATACACAAGGTTATTTTGGTAATTTTTCCTTCTTCAATAGAAGATGAAAGGGATACCTTGTTTTTTATAATACTTGCAAGTTGTGACTCTTATCAGTGCAAAAGACATAAACACCCTCCCCGCCTCATAATTGGAAACATCCCTAGAAAAACTAAAAGAGCTTATACAGTAATACCTAAACAAGGTTATTTTGGTCATTTTAATTTTTTTTTTTTTTTTTTTGTGTTTTTCATTGACAGGTTATAATGACATGAACTTAATTGTTTATATTTATAGGCATATTCTGTGGGAAGAGCTTTGACACAAAAGCTAAAAGAACTTATACCTAGACAAATGTTTAAAGTGCCTATCCAAGTAAGCCTCATCTATTCTATTCTATTCTACCTTGAATAATAAAATTGAACTTAAAATTATAAATTAATGATTTGCAATTTTATTTTATTTATTTGTATTATTTTATTCTTACTTATGTTGTGAACTTGATGACAGGCATGCATAGGTACTAAGGTGATTGCTAGTGAAAGTTTGTCAGCAATTAGGAAAGATGTTTTGGCCAAATGCTATGGTAATTAAAAATTTAATACCAAATTTAATTTTTGTATAATAAATTATAATTAGTAATGTTCATTTTTTAATTTCATTGTAGGTGGTGACATCTCTAGGAAGAAAAAATTGCTAAAGAAACAGGTAAATTATTTGCATATATTTTTTTTTCTCTCTCTTTAAAACATTATTTATTTATTTATTTGCTCTAATTAGGCTGCGGGAAAGAAAAGAATGAAGGCAATTGGGAAAGTTGATGTGCCTCAAGAAGCATTTATGGCAGTTTTGAAACTTGAAAAAGAGGTGCTATAAGTTAAATATAGTCACATACTCTACATATACACTACAACACATGTACATTGTATGTATCTATATTACTTACTACCAATGTAGCAAAAAAAAAAAAAAAAAAAAAAAAACTTCTACAATCAAGAAATCATGTGCCTTGGTGTTGTCATTTGACATTTAATGATTAGAAAATATATATTCCAAGTCCCATTTTTTGTTTATGAAACCCAAGGAATATGTTTTTACTTTTATTACTTCAATTTTTAGAAACTATTTTCATGCATCGGCTTTTAGAATGAAACATGTGTATACATATATGCATATGCATGTATCTATTCTCACATGCTTATTGTGATATAAGGAGATCAGAATCCATAAGTGAGATCTTCGGTGGTGGTGGTTGGATTAAACTAACCCATATAGATGAAATTTTTAACAAAAAAACCCAATTATTTTTAGGTTTTTCAAAAATAACCACTATCTCTAGAACAACGTATTCCAGAGTCGAGTTAGGATTTCAGAATGGAATTTTAGAGTTTCCATTTAAGTATTTATTTGTTAGAAACTAAATGTTGTAAACGCAATTTCACACGAACGCCTACATAACTAGTTATAATAAAGTGAACTACCAAACTCATTAGTAACATTCTATCCTTAGCTACCACTTTGTTATCACACAACACCCATCTAACTAGTTATGAATTTATGATTTCTCTCATACCACTTAAAATCATTAGATTTCCTACTTGCCTCTATATTCGCAATCTATTTGAATCAGTTTACATCCTGCTATAATGCTATAATTCACATTGAAAGCTATTAAGCCATTCTTTGAAGATGTATTTTGTTCGGTCATTCATTCACTTTAGTCATCCTTCAAACTCCAAGAGTGATCTAAGGTTGTGGGGTATCTCTGAGGGAGATGGTAGAAGCCAAAGAAACAAAGTACAAAAAAATGAAAGCGAAATCTAAGGAACTTGGACAACAAATGCATGGTAAGCTACTATCCATTGAAGACAAGAAAAAATGGATAGGAGACACATAACCTTGAGATTGTAGATGATGAGCTTTGGAAATTTTATGAGAAAATGGATGTAATAAAAGCATGAGTTGATAAAGAAAAAGAACGTGAAATTCTCATATGAGTATATGACTACCAGAAATTTCAATTCATAATAAAGATCTATGATATTATGTTTTTATGATTGTATGGTCATTTCTATTTTGATAAAATCTATTTTATTTAGGACTTATTTAATAATATATTGTGGTTTGTTTAACAAATGTAATTGTAAGATTATAAGTAAAAGTCACTCATGTTTACCACATCATCAAAAAAGATATCGTAAAAGCAAATATCCATAAATGATACGATAATAATAAAATGTCTAAATAGACTGCTACTTTTGACGTGTACCTCATGCTATACATGCAATCCACCTCTGATATGCATCTGACGAGGTGGCAGTACAATCCTTAATGCTCACTAATTGACCAGTGATTAACCTCTCTACGAACCGATATACGAAAACCCCAAAGTCCACTCTCTTGTAGGATTGTTGTGGTACATCCGTGACCTTCACAAGTTTAAGTGTGAAACTCTCGAGAAGTATTGCATCAATATGTTATTAACGGTATGTTATGTTTGGTACCCCATATAGCCACTAAGATTTTGTAGATACAAGGTCACATAACCATAAACTAGGATGTGATTTCCGAAAAGTAATTGCTACACTAGGAACTATCGTATATAATGAGTGTGAACGATCATAAATCCAAAACCCCTAAAAACGGGTGGGCGTGCGTTATATTTATGAGGATGTATAGTTGCACAAATTGTTGGACATAACATATCATTTGAATATATTTCATTATAAGTGACAAATACTTGTGTAATGCAATCCATTAAACACATGTATACTATCACATTTAGACCAAGCTGGGTAAAGGCTTTCATTAACAATTATGGGTGAGCAAAACCTAAACCGAAAAACCGAAACTAAACCCAAACCTTTGGTTTTGGGCTTGGAGTTTTTAAAAGCAAAAAATTCTTTTTGGGTTTAGTTTGGACTTTAGTAACCGACTCACAAAATCGAAACCGACCCAATATGTAAAACCGAACCTTATATCGATCCAAGGAGCCGAAACAGACCCATACATATATAATTTATTTAAGGTGTTATTAATGATTATTGTATTATTTAGTTAGAACTAAAAGCATAAGTTAATGCTTAAGCATGAGTGAGTTAGTACATTTAGTATATTATTAATAATTATTATATACTAATATAGTATTAATAATTATAATTATTATATACTAAATTACTATGTTGAAACTGAAAAAGTTAATTCCATGTGTTGAAACCGAAAAACCGACCTAAAAAAAATGAAAACCTAACTAATTTAAAAACTAAAGCCAATGGGTTTCAATAGCCAAAAACTGAACTTGTCAATGAACCATTCTCAATTTGTAGGGTTATCGGGGCTCGCCTTAAGCATTAAACTTTTTTGTCCTACGCCGCCTCTTGATTGAATCCTTCAAAATTTAAACTTGAGTCATTTGAGGGAGTTGTTACCAAATCTTATCCGATGAGCCATAAAGTAGTTAATTGAATACTTAATATCAATGTTCACATACCAACAACTATAAACTTTATGCAAAAGTGGTGAAAAATGATAAATTTAGGGGTGTCTTAAATGAACCTCCATATGTGTGTGAATGTAGTGTGTATTGACTTTCATACATGTATCTCATCATATGAGGTTTTTTTGTAACAACCTAAATTTATTATATTAAATTGTTAAAAAATTATATTTCATAGATTAAAAAATAACAAAAGTATCTTATATGAACAAAAAAAGTTGTGCAAGTGTGTAAACGGTAGTTTGGCGAATAAAATCTGACAAAAGCCAATGATCAAAGCTCAAAATTGAAAAGGGTAGTTTATGGTAGTTTTCAGTTAAATTGAGGACCATAATGGAATTTAACTAAAATCTAAGGATACTTTTCGAATTTGTAAAGTATCAAACTATCAACTAGACAACTATCAAAGATCCCGACTGGGATTTAAGTATTTAACTCCCCCCAAGTTCAATTTCAGACATTTGTCCAAAAAAAATTTAGGGTAAAGAACGAAAAAAAAAAAACGATCTTTTAACGGACTAATGCCTCGGAGTATATCGAGGTCTCCGTCGTCTTATCGGCGGAGATACTCGCCGTCCCCATCCAGCCGCCGCCGCCGGAGAGACCGGAGCCGCTCGCCTTACACTGCTTCGCACAGTAGGTCAGCTCACATTCTTCTGATTTAACTTCTTTTTATATGGTGTATTTCCGCGATTTAACTGATCTCGATGCATATAAGAGTAAACTCTATCTTCAAAATGAAGCGTAGAGTGGAATTACAAACTCGTATATGGAACAATTAGGTGATAAACTGCACAAATTCAGGTCAAATTTATGTATTGAGAAGTGGTTAGGGCTAAATTTCTTGCATTTGTGAAATAAAAATGTTAGCTGTGTGAAGTGTGAACTACAATGCTAGGTCTAACATACTTATTGGCTCCTTTTGAGCTTAAAATTCACAGCACATTCGAATAACCTAATTTTAAAGATTAAAAAACTGATCTTGCACTATTTAAACAGATTGTTAGGTTTTTATTTGGGGATGAAGTTCATTAACACTTCAATAACATAAAAGAATTAAATTTAGTCTTTCAAATATCTATACCTTCTAACTAACTACATGTAGAGGATTATGTGGTAACTAAAAGAAAGAAAAGAACAAAAGTAAAATGTTAGGTTTAAATATGCAATAAACTTATAAACACACAATAAATTTTCTTCCTCGACCCCACAAAGGTCAAAAGGGCAGATGAGACTCCACAACTCAACAAAAATAGTGTTAAAGAAGCATGCAATCTTCTTCCTTCATCTTGAAATACACAAAGAAGACTTATTAAACAAAGATTATTACTAATTTAAAGCTTAGTTCCTTCTTGTTTTTGCAATTTAACTAAATTTTGGTGTGAATCATGATTTTTTTTGCTACATTAATTAGGAGAAGAAGTCGATCTCCAATTTCTAGACATAAAAAAAGTCGATCTCCAACACCTAGGCGACATAAGAGGCGAAAAAGCAGGACTTCTTCACTGAGTCCTGTGGAATCTCCAACTCAAAGTATCACATCAAATGCCCTTTCTAAATCAAGAAAGGAAGAAGAAGAAAAGAAAAGGTACATAAAACTCTTTTTTTTAAAGTGGAAGAAATGGTAAAATGTGCTTTGATTGATTTGTTAGTTATAGCAATGTCATCCAAATACAAAGAATGATATAATTAAGTTTGCAAAGTATAATAAATATAATTCAGTGGCTAAATCAATAAAATGGTGAAAGTACAAGAGCATTTCTGTATTTTTTCCCCCTATTTAAAACCTTTAAATTGCTTGAGTTAAAAACTTTATTAGGACATTACTAGTAAATAGTCAGGCAGAATGCAACTCTGTGTCTTAATTTTGAGGGGCAAAACTGTAAAATCACCACCACTATTGTTTAGTAACAATTGATTTACAATTTTTTGTACCAAAATTGATATGTATAATTGTATATATGTTGTAAAAAGGATTGAACAGGAGATGGAGCTGAAAATTCTAGAAGAGGAAACAGCAAGGAGAATGGAAGAAGCAATTAGGGCAAAAGTTGAAGAAAAATTAATGTCAAATGAGGTTAAATTAGAAATAGAAAAGAGAGTAGAAGAAGGGAGGAAGAAGCTTTTTGATGATATTGAAGCTCAACTTGAAAGAGAAAAACAAACAGCTCTCAATGAAGCCAGACAAAAAGAGGTAACAAATTATCTTCCTTTTTTCTTTTTGATTTAAGAGTAAATTACTGAAATCGTCCCTATGGTTTGGTCAAAATTACATGTTTGGTCCCTACCTCTTTTTTTGCAATCAGATCGTTCCCGTGGTTTGATTTTGTTGCGTTTTTCGTACCTTGCATACATAAAATTAGGGACCAAACGTGAATTTTTGACCAAATCATAGGGACGAAAAATGCAACAAAATCAAACCATAGGGACGACGCGAGTGCAAAAAATATTAGGTACCAAACATGCAATTTTGACCAAACCATAGGGACGAAAAATGCAATAAAATTAAACCATTGGGACGATCCAAGTGCAAATGCAAAAAAGTTATGGACCAAACATGCAATTTTGACAAAACCGTAGGGACAAAAAGAGGTAAAATGATAAATTCAGACTGTTTGATACCATAATAAGAAGCCTCAAACAGACTCTTGTCTGGCTCTTCTGATGTGCTTCTTACTCGGTCTGATTTGGGTTGTGACAGTCAGATCTGACTCAATCAACAGCTATCATTATTGAGATTTTTTTATGTTAAATTAGGAGCAAGCTCGAAGAGAAAGAGAAGAGCTTGATAAAATGTTGGAAGAGAATCGAAGGAGAGTAGAAGAGGCTCAAAGAAGAGAAGCTCTTGAGCTTCAACGAAAAGAGGAGGAAAGATTTAGGGAACTTGAACTTATTCAAAGACAAAAGGAAGAGGCTTTGAGAAGAAAGAAGCTTGAAGATGAAGAAGAGCTTATTAAGCTATCAAGTAAAGTCAAACCTAGATAAACTAAGTCAAACCTCATCTCTATGTGAATTTGTTCTATAAATTCCCCTTGACTAGGGAATATGTTCTTGGTTTTTCTTGTTTTGAGTAGATTACAAAAGCCATTAATTATGTGGTTTTGAAAAAACATATCAAAGGAACAATTGGTGGTTTAATCTCTAATTATTAAAATGATGGTATTTATGCAAAAGAAAAAGTTATTCTTCCAACAAAGTGGAACATCATGTGAGATGTAAATAAGGTGTAAAACAAATTTATATTGGAAT